AGAGCATGTCCGTTTAGTAAAATAACAATAGTAGGTTTCCCACTAGGGCCTACGACCCCCAGAACTCTGGGCTTTTGATCAAGTTGGCAGTACCAAGCAGGAATTTCCTCTTGAGAAACAATTCTCAAATCCAGTGAGGAAGTGGTTGGCTATTCCTGTAACGTTCATGCCCTTACAGTACCACTGGGCTGGCAGGTCAGGGCCCCCCTCTGAGTAGGACTGCTGATGGCCTTCCTTCCTCAGCAGCCTGCATTGTCTTTCACTGCTTTATGAGCTAGCCAGCAGGGTAGAGATGGGAGGATTCAGTTGGGGCTCAGGACACCTGCCTATGCTACCCCAAACCTTACCTCTTTGGCATATTGGTCATTGCAACTGGCTATTTTGAAGAACTGAAGACACAGAGCTCTCTCTGAAAAGCTGCCCTTTCGTGAAGTTGTCCATACCAGGAAGACAGCAACTCTAAAACAACTTTTACCACAGAGGTTTCTTGTGCCGCGCGCCATGCAACCCCCACCCCCAGGTCTGCGTTCTACCCTAGAATTCAGTTCCCGAGCCTCGGGCAAGGGGCTGGAGGTTGAGGAAACACAGGCAGAGACAGACCAACACAGAGACCTCCAATCACTGGTACAAAAGCCCTTCTTTAATAGCAACATGGAGGCTTAACTACCCTGCAGTCAATGGCCAACAGGTGAAAATCCCATCCTCTGATCCTAGGCAAAGCACAGCTTTTAGGAACTTCAGTTAAAAGGTTCTTGCAGGGAAGAGCAGCTGAAGGCCAGGACTCAATTGGTCCCAACATCTCCCCCCCTAAATTTTTTATAAAACAGAAGACCATCCTGTCTTAGGTCATCTCAGAAGAGTAAACCCTTACCCGTCTTTGGGAGGCCCCTTCCTGTCTTAGGTGGGCCCTCCTCTGTAGAATTTGCCCATCTACGGAGGAGTCTTCATTGTTGGTGCAGTATTTGCAACCAAACCTGGAGTACATTCAAGTTACTGGCCAACAGGCTCAGAAGGACTTGCTGAGTGACCATATGCTGCATTCTCATGGGTTGTCTGATCTTACACAGGATTCAGAGATGAATGCCCATGGCAACAGGCATTAAGATTACCAGCAATAGGGTCCCCAATCACCACTGGACCCAGCCTCCCATTTGGGTTATGGTATTCTACCAACCGTTTGGCTAAAACAGGGCACACAGGTATCAACAATCTGGTGTGCTAATTGTAACATTTCAAGGGCTATTCAAGTAACCATTGAGCTGTTTCACCACATAAGAGGCATTAGCAATATTTACAGATATCACACAAATGGAATGATAAAAGTGTGAACAAGATATTTGTTGTATTAGCCATAAGTCCACCTGCTCCTACAATAGGGCAGTCTCTTGATTTAATTTCGAAAGTCCAAATTGAATGTGGACATTCAGGGCATTCTGAGTCTGAAGAACATCGTTGACTTGTCTCGCCAGTTTATCCATGGTGTCCGACACCAACGATGTTTGTGCTATTGCCAGTCCTGCGACCATGGCTGCAGTAGCAGACACCGCGATGACAGCAACCACTGCAGCTGTCTCTCCAGAATCTCGTTTCTCTCCATACAGGCTCATCTCAGTCTGCTTAGCCTTTTAGGTAAGTGGCCGTGGTATGATGGCTGGTACCCGAATCAATAAGGCAGAACTGGAGTGGTTGTCCCAGCAGTCTCTCAGGCCACAGTTCCTGAAAGAACAACCAAGAATATCTTTTCCCCCAAAGGTGCTATTCCATACTACAAAAAGGAAAAGAAAAAAGAAAGAAAACTAAAACAAACACGGGATTTAATAGTGCCTGGGCTCTCAGAGAAATATTCCAAAAAAGAAAGATAGGAACTACACTCACTTGTGTAGGATTCATTTAAAGTAATATTTATAGCCCAAAAGTGTAACAAAGCATAAAGCATTTTCAAAGGAAAAGGTTTGATTAATAGAAGGCTGTTTTATCGTCATATTGCTTAAAGCAGTTCCAACTGTATAGTTTGAGGAATAGAAAGATGAATACAAAGAACTAGCTCGGCTCACTGGTCAATACAAGGGGGTTCCTAACCAGGTTTCTCACAGTGCTTTCCACTTCATTGGGACTCACCAGGAGGCTCAAGAGAATGATAGGTGTCTGTAACATGAAGAAAATATTCATTGTTCATTTTTTTGGGAAAGTGGGCATAGTTTTCCAAGCTATTTCCTGCTGGTTGGGGGCGCTGATAATCTTATGGGGACCTTAAGAAAATTTAGAGTTATAATCAAGTCCTGACTGGAGTATCCTGTGAGTCTTGATCATCTCAGGCAGCAGTCTTGAACCTGTTCTGGATGAAGAACTCAGACATCTGGGCCATCTGTTCCTACCGGAGATCTCTCAGGTGGTCTTCCTTGATCAAAATGGATTTTTCTTAACTCAGAATGAATCCACAGCCTCTCATTTTCTGTGGAAACAAACGCAAATCCTCTTCTCCAAAATAACATACCTTTTGACTTCAGTTTTGAAGCCAAGGTACTTTCAAAATACCTATCTTGGGTTAGTTCAGCAGCATTTATAAACAAAAGTCTTTTAGCAGCTATTATATCTCTGTATATCTTTGTCCTGGAATAACTCTGTACACCAGGCTGTCCTTAAACTCACAGAGATCCACCTGTCTCTGCCTCCCCAGTGCTAGGATTAAAGGTGTGTGCTACCATACCTTGAGCACTCAGAGATCTGTCTGTCTCTGCCTCCCAAGCATTGGGATTAAAGGTGTGTGCTACCACACCTTGAAGTCACAAAGGTCAATCTACCTCTGCCTCCCAAGTTTTGGGATAAAAGGTGTGTACCACCACACCCAACTACTCTCTTTCTTTTTTACTTTTAAGAACTTTAACCTTTAGCCTGCATATATTTTTAACGCACTGTAAACCATTTAGAGATTTTCTTCATCTTTGAATCTCTCTTTATTGTATATCTCTCTCTCTGACCACATGAGTCTTTATGGAGAGGATTATAGCCATGACTTTGATGGCTGGATCCAGCCCATTCCTTAGCTTTCCAGCCTCATGGCAGAGGTACTGGCTGTAGCTATTTTTATTGCCACAACTCTATGGTGTTTCAAGGTCCCTGCCAGCAAGCAAGCTGCAGCATTCTGCTCACAGACCACACTCAGTCAGACTGCCTACCTGAAAGAGCCAGAGTTTGCCATGGCAGAACAGCCCAGAAAGACAGCATTTTAAAATGGCGCTCCAGGTGTCATTCTCAGGCTCATCACAGGATCCTTTCCCATCGTTTTCCACAGCCTGAACATATCGCTCTGGTACCCAAATGTGCTTGTCTGTTCCTGGAGGAAAAACACAAGCAGCTCCTCTCACCCTAGCCAACAGGGACGTGGGCTCCTTCCACTGTCCTGTAATAAGGTCTTTCCATCGTACCGATCCTAAGGACTGAGAACTTTTTTCCAATGTCTTTCCATGGCCGAGTAACCCTCACAATCCACAGTTAAAAAATTCAGAATAAATAAAATAGAAGCCAATTGTGTATTGGGAGAGAGAATATACTCCCCCCTATTTATTTTTGTGAAATACTGTTTTATAACCATATGCATTCTTTCTACTATAGCTTGTCCAGTAGGGTTATATGGAATACCTGTAATATGTTTAATATTATTATTTACACAAAAAGTTTGAAATTTTCCACCAGTATATGTAGGACCATTATCTGTTTTAATAACATTAGGTAAGCCCATATAAGCAAAAGCCAACAGGCAATGAACTATCACATCCTTCATTTTCTCTCCACTATGCAGCGAAGCGAAAACTACTTTAGAGGAAGTATCAACTGAAACATGCGTATATTTAAGCTTTCCAGTTGAGGGTAGGTGGGTAACATCCATCTGCCAAATGTCATTCGGTTGAAGACCACAAGGATTAACTCCAGCAATGGGTGTATTATGAAAAGGAACACAGGCGGAACATTGGGTGGTCATTTGTAAGGCAGTGGCTCTGGAGCAACCAGTATGGTGTTGCAAAGAACGAGCATTTCAGTGATATTTTTTATGAAGTTTAGAAGCCTTTTCTTCAGGATGGCAAATAATATTCGGGTATATGCGAGTTGATTACCCTTGGTCAGAGGTCCAGGTAATTGAGTATGACCTCTAATATGACTCACAAAAATAAGATCCCACCTGAACCATAATAAAAACTGTACACTGCATAATTGTTGTTGTATACGGGACACAGGAGAAATATAAGGAGCGGTCTCTAAGGGAGCAATAGTTTGAGACAAGTAAATACTATCAGTATATAAATTAATTGACTCATCAGGAAACATTTGTAATGCTAGAATACAGGCTGTTATTTCAGCTGCTGGAGCAGAGACATTGCCAACAGATGTTTGGAATACTAGACCTTGAGAAACTACCACAGCATTTCCTTTTGGAGAACCGTCTGTAAAAACTGTTCGAGCTCCAGCCAAAGGCCTAGGTTTTACTATTCATGGAAAGTACCATTCTGTGGTTGAAGAGTCAGATACCACAGCCAATAAGAACGCTAAAGCCTATGAATGACGTCAGTAAGCCAGCCCAGGAAGTGATGTCAAGAGAACTGAGGTGCCTGTCCGAATAAATTCTCGAGGGCACCGACGATCACTGCTCTTCAGGGCTCGGCATTCGAGCTAGGATTTCTGTCGTCTGTAAGTTCGAGGGGTTAGAGGTCCAGCCACAATGATTGAGGTGGTTTGCAACGACCGTCTAGGGAAGAAAGTCCGCGTCAAGTGCAACACCGATGACACCATCGGGGACTTGAAGAAACTGATAGCGGCCCAAACTGGCACCCGTTGGACTAAGATCATTCTAAAAAAGTGGTACACGATTTTTAAGGACCACGTGTCTCTGGGAGATTATGAAATCCACGATGGGATGAACCTGGAGCTTTATTACCAGTAGACGGGAATTCCTTCTCCTTGCCTACCCTGCCTTCCTCTCCCACCCTCATTTGACACTGGTATAGATGCCCATTTTTAACATTCACCTGAATAAAAACTTCAGTGCTGCTTTGTTCCCGTCAAAAGAAAAAGAACACTGCTCCTTCGCTTGCTTGCTCGATGAACAGGAAGCGAATATGTCGGAACGGAAAGTTCTCAACAAATACTACCCACCTGACTTCGACCCGTCAAAGATCCCGAAACTCAAGCTACCCAAGGACCGGCAGTACGTGGTTCGAGTGATGGCCCCCTTCAACATGAGGTGTAAGACATGTGGAGAATACATCTCTAAGGGGAAGAAGTTCAATGCGCGCAAGGAAACCTTCCAGAACGAGGCCTACCTGGGCCTGCCTATCTTCCGCTTCTATATCAAGTGCAGGCCCTGCTTGGCCGAGATCACCTTCAAGACAGACCCTGAGAACATGAACTACACCATGGAGCATGGAACCACACGCAACTTCCAAGCCGAGAAGCTCCTGGAGAAGGAAAAGCGTATGCAGAAGGAGCGGAGGATGAGGAGCTGAACAACCCCATAAAGGTCCTAGAGAACCGCACGAAAGCCTCGAAGCTGGAGATGGAGGTGCTGGAAAACCTGCAGGAGCTGAAGGACCTGAACCAGCGGCAGGCACAGCGGACGGCAGCAGGAGGAGGAAGATGAGCATGAGACTGAGGCCTTGTTGGAGGAGGCTCGCCACCGCCACACGCAGGCTTCTGGAGGATTCCGACTCAGAAGATGGAGCTCTGCCTTCCCGACCACGCTCAGCAGCAAAACCCAACCCCACAGCCATCCTGGACGAGGCACCGAAGACCAAGAGGAAGCAGAGGCAGTGGACAGCAAGGCACAGCTGGCCGGATTGGTGGTGCCAAAGAAGGTGAAGGCGGAAGCCAACGGGGGGCTCAGAGCAGCTCCAGATGCCTGCCGTGGGTGCCCCCCGAGAGCAGGAAGACCTTGCACCCCAGACACCCGGGGCCTCCTCCCTGAGCCAGCTGGTGCATATGGGGACAGCGAGGACAGTGACAGCTGAGCCCCTACAGCGACATCACAGACCCAAGAAACCAGAGGAGGAGATGGGATCAAGGAAGGCACCCTCAGCAAGTTCCTCTTGACCGTGTCTGCCGCGGTGGGACGTCCTATTGCCGCGCCTCGCAATCCCCATGAGAGAAGTCCTCGGCAAGGTCAGCGGTCTCTCACTGAGCCCTACTCCTGAGACTTTTATCTACATAACAAGACAATCTACTTATTCTCCGTGCTGTCCTGTGTATCTGCCGCCCCTACTTTGTCTCTCAACTCCAGGAAGCCTCCTGATGCTATTCCTTTCTGTAGCTCAGATCGCCCACAATGTTTGCATCCTTACGTTTTTTTTCCCCATAGAACTCCCATTAGTCCATACATAATTAAAATTGATTTCCCCCATCAATCTGTTTTCAGATCAGTTTAATTTTTATACACTAGGCAAAGAATTTTGGAAAGTCAAGGGACACAGCAAAGCCTTAGGCAGAATTTACTGTTCTCTGAGGCATAATTAAGGAACGGTAAGGAGGCCAGGCCTGCCTGGAGTAGACAGTAAGAGAGGCAAGAATCAGAGGCTGGGGGCTGGAGAGATGGCTCCATGGTTCAAAGCAGTTAGCTGCCCTTGCAGAGGAACCAGGTTCAGTTCCCAGCATCCACATAGTGGTTCACAACCATGTGGAACTCCAGCTCCAGAAGATCTGATGCCCTCTTCTGGCCTCAGCAGGCACTGCATGCATGCGGTTCATAAATAAACCTGTAGGCAAAACCCTCCTATCCATGAATTAAAAATAAATAAGTAGGGGCTGGAGAGAAGGCTCAGTACTTAAGAGTACTAACTGCTCTTCCGGAGAATCTGGGATTTGGTTCCCAGCACCCACATGGTGGCTCACAACTGTCTGTAAAATTCCAGTCCCAGGGGACCTGATGCCTTTTTCTGGCCTCCATGGGCAATCCCGTAGTTTATAGACATCCTCACAGACAAACAAAAGCAAAACATAAATATACCTAAAATAATCATAATAATCTTTTGTTTTGCTTTTTGAGACAGGGTTTCTCTGTAGCTTTGGAGCCTATCCTAAAAATGAACTCTTGTAGATCAGGCTGGCCTTGAACTCACAGAGATCCGCCTGCCTCTGCCTCCTGAGTGCTGGGATTAAAGGTATGTGCCACCTCTACCCGGCTCATCATACCTTTTTAAAGGAAAAGAAATAATGACTATCCTTACAAAGCCGTAAAACATTTTTTAGAGGAATTAGAAACGAAATCAGGAAGAACCAATCAGGAAGAGAGGTCACATTATCCTTGGCCCCTGAGGGTGATAGCAGGGTTTGTTTTTGTGGTTTTTTGTTCCGCGGTGTTTATGTTTTGGCTTTGGTTTGCCTGGTTCAGTGCTGGGAGTGAAACCCGGGTTCCCAAATTTTGTCGGTGAGAGGCCTATTTACTGAGCTATACATCCTGAAACCCTGGCCTTAACTGGTAAGGCCTTAACTGACTTAAAGATGAGGTGGGAACCATGGGCCACTGGACTAGAGGAGGGCAGATTCAATTGTTGCTTTCTAAAGACAGGAGGGCAGATTCAGTTGTTGCTTTCTAAAGACAGGAGGGCAGATTCAGTTGTTGCTTTCTAAAGACTGTTTGGGCCCTTAAAGAAAAGTAGGAACACAGCCTAATGGCCACTGCAGTAATCATAGAGACAATTCTCAGGAGAGCAGGTACAATAGCATCAGAGACTCTGCAGCTGCAGGCTAGATGAAGTAACAGCCGTGAAGGGGTGGAGACACTCACTGTTCCTTATCTGCAGGCACTTGAGGAGTTAGTTCCCTTAATCCTCTGGGCCCCAGAGTCTAGAGACTTCCACTCAGGAAAAGCCTTTGACACAGAAAAGAGTTTCAGAAAAATCAGTATGAAGCAGAGCTGAAGTTTATTAAAGAACATTTTTAGCAGATTGAAGAACAGGGATGAATAGAAAGGAACTCAGGGAAAAAGTGAAACATAAGTGTGGGCATGATTTTCCCAAAAGAGGACACGTGCACGCACGCACACATGCACACGCACACATGCACACGCACTTTTGGTGAGTTTAAAGCTATTATATTTAAATCCTAATAATTTAATGAGATCCCTGAAATATGCAGGGAAGATCAGAGCAGATCAGACAAAGCACTAGGTCAGGATTAGTGATAGTGGTCACTTGGTAGAGAATGAATCCCTGGGTTTGATCCCTAGCACCACATAAACCAGGGATGCTGGTGAAACCCTGTAATCCTAGGACATTGGAGATAAAGACAGGAGGATAAGAAGTTCAAAGTCATCCTTGCTACAAAGTCAGTTCATGGTTGTGGTGGCTTGAATAGGTATGGCCCCCATACATTCATGTCTTTAAATGCTTGGCCCATAGGGATTGGCACTATTAGGAGGTGTGGCCTTGTTGGAGTAGGTGTGTCACTGCAGAGGTGGGCTTTGAGGTCTCCCATAAGCTCAAGCCACGCCCGACATGACAGTTACTTGCCCTTGCCTGTGGATCAAGATGTAGAACTTTTCTGCTTCTTCTCCAGCACCAGGTCTGCCTGTACCACACCATGCTTCTCACCATGATGATAATGAACTAAATCTCCGAAACTGTAAGCCACACCAATTAAATATTTTCCTTTAGAAGAGTTGCCACGGTCATGGTGTCTCTTCACAGCAGTAGAAACCCAAACCAAGACAAAGGCTAACCTGGGCTATGTAAGATCCTGTCTGGAAAATAAAAATCCCACCCGATCCCGGGGATGTAGGAGGTTCGGGTAGCTTCGCTGTGAACAAGGTGAGTAGTCTTGTTTGTGAGACTCCCACAAAATATCTGGGGGAGAGTAAGGCCCTAACCAAGATCATATGAATTGAGGCATTAAGTTTGGTTTATTGCCAGTTCAACATTTTTATTTGAAAACATAGATATATAAAAGAAATATTGTCCCTGTGTGGGCAGCTTTCACAGCAAGTGTTAAGTATGCTGGAAGTCCTGCTTTTCAGCAGTGAGAGCTTTAACTAGACTCTAGAGGGAGAGGTTCCTCTCCATTCTCATGCTCCCATCATTTTCCCTTGCTATCCCAGCTTGAGCTCTCTGACACTGAGCTACACCCTCAGCCCCAGATTTCCTTTTGGTCCAGACTGGCCTCAAACTCTATGGAGTCCAGGAAAGTCTTGAGTTCAAGACTGTTCATCCTCCTGTCTCCACCTTCCAAATGTTGGGATTTTATGTATAAGCCATCATGCCTTGCTCACAGGTTCCATTTTTTTTAAAGATCTGATTTGGGGGGCTGGAGGGATGGCTCAGTGGTTAAGAGCAGTGTCTGCTCTTCCAGAAGACCTGGGTTCAATTCCCATCACCCACATTAAAAATTATCTGATTTTATTTATTTATATTTTTCTTTTTCTTGAGACGGGGTTTCTCTGTGTAGCCCTGGCTGTCCTGGAACCTGAACTGTAGACCAGACTGACCTCATACTTAGAGATCCACCTGACTCTGCCTCCCACCTGACTCTGCCTCCCAAGTGCTAGGATTATAGGCATTTTTAAAGAAGAAGAAGGAGGAGGGGGAGGAAGAGGAGGAGGAGGAGGAGGAAGAAGAAGAAGAAGAAGAAGAAGAAGAAGAAGAAGAAGAAGAAGAAGAAGAAGAAGAAGAAGGTACAGTGACAGTTGCTTTTAATCCCAGGGAAGCAGAGGCAGGCAGATCTTCAAGAATCAGCCTGGTCTACATACTGAGTTCCAGGACAGATAGGGCTATGTAGAATTGTTTGTTGCTTTGTTTTTAATACATTTTGTGTGTGTGTGTGTGTGTGTGTGATTGTGAGTGCAATACCAGCGGAGGCCAGAAGATGTTGGATCCCCTAAAGCTGTAGTTATAGTGGTTGTAAGACACCTGACATGGGTTCAGGGAAGAGAACTCAGATCCTCCTCAGGAACAGTGTGTGCTTTTAACTGCTGAGCCGGCTCTCCATCCTCCCAAATCCATTTTTGAAAGTTAAGCCATGTAGATTTACTAATAAGCGGAAACAGCATCAGGAAGTAAGGAATTTAGGGAAACACCCCAAATCACTGGAAAATGCAAACCCCAGTTACAGAAGGTGGGAAAACCTGCAGAAGGGGCAGGCCGGTTCATTCACTCCGCGACTCTGAGGAGAGTACTCAGACCCTCAACCTCAGGTCCCTTACTTCTGAGATAGCTGTAACTGATGCTTCCTCCAAGGTGGAGGAGAGGTTGAGCAGGATCAGCAGCAGCTGATAAGGGTGGTGTGAGGGGTGGGGAAGGGGTGGGGGTTGGGCTAGGTGGGGCAAACTTGGGACTACTGAACCTGATCGCAGAAGGAGAGCAACTAGATGCCTGGAGATCTTTCCAGAGGCCTGGATCACCTCTTTCCATGTTTCCCTTCTTAATCTTTAACATGGTCTCCTCCAGGGTCTTTGATGCTGATGGGTACAGTTAATGACAAGCGACCATATTCCCACAGCTTTGAAGTTTGCAGAAACACTTCAAGGCGAACAGAGACCCAATCGGATGAATATATCAAAAGTAAAGATTAAAAATTTTTTAGAGACATACATAGATATAATCTACATGGGAAGTAGAAGAAGACAAGATCTGAGATCTGAGTAAATTGGGAGCATGGGGACCTTGGGGGAGGGTTGAAGGGGAGGGGAGAGGCAGGGAGGGGAGCAGTGAAAAATGTAGAGAGCAATAAAAATCAATTTAAAAATAGTTAAAACAATTAAAAACAGAAAAAAATTTACTGTTTCAAAAAGCATTTTTTTTTGCTGAAATTTTTTAAATATCTTTATTTTTTAATGATTATTGAGTGATGTGTTGCCAGGATGTATGTCTGTGTGAAAGGTGTCAGATTCTCTGGAACTGGAGTAACAGTTGTGAGCTGCCACATGGGTGGTGGGAATTGAACCTGCATCCTTTGGATTTTCTTTTTCTTATTTTAAAAAATATTTATTTGCTTATTATGTATACAATATTCTGTCTGCAGACCAGAAGAGGGCACCAGACCTCATTACAGATGGTTGTGAGCCACCATGTGGTTGCTGGGAATTGAACTCAGGACCTTTGGAAGAGCAGGCAATGCTCTTAACCGCTGAGCCATCTCTCCAGCCCCTGGATTTTCTCTTTCTTTCTTTCTTTCTTTCTTTCTTTCTTTCTTTCTTTCTTTTTTTTGTTGTTGTTTTTTGTTTTTTGTTTTTTTTTGTTTTTCGAGACAGGGTTTCTCTGGTGCTTGTCCTGGAACTAGCTCTTGTAGACCAAACTGGCCTTGAACTCACAGAGATCTGCCTGCCTCTGTCTCTCGAGTACTAGGATTAAAGGCATGTGCCACCACTGCCCAGCTGAACCTGCATCCTTTGGAAGAGCAATCAATGTTCTTAACCCCTGAGCTGTCTCTTCAGCTCCTAAATTAAAGAATTTAATTAAATCAATTAAGAACAAGAGGGACGCCAATCCAACAAAAGTTGTTTCATTTTCCTTCTGCCATGTCCTTTTGATCGGGACGGCTTCCAGAAGCTGCTGCTACCACCAGGGTGGCTCTTCCAGCATCAATTAAGACAATCAGGATGTCCTTCAGGAGAGGCTCCATACTTAGGTGACCTTAATTTGTGGCAAGTTGACATTAAAACCAACCCTAATAGCCACTCTCTCTCCTGAATCCAGCCTTGAATTACAACTCCTTTCTGAAGGAGAATGAAATTCTTCTGAAGACTTATTTATTCATGTATTTCATGTATACGAGTCTGTCTTCATGCACACCAGAAAAAGGAATCTGATCCCATCCCAAAGGGTTGTGAGCCACCATATGGTTGGTGGGAATTGAACTCAGGACCTCTGGGGAGCAGTTGAGTGCTCTTAACTGCTGAGCCATCTCTCCAGCCCTGAGAACAAAGTTCTTAAAATAAAAGAATACAAAACCAAATAAAATTCAGGTCATCCACCCAACCAGATATAGCTGGCACTGTTTGTGTGTGTGTGTGTGTGTGTGCGTGTAACCTCGCTTAGTCTAAGTAGGATGACTGGAGAACTCATGTTCCTCCTGTTCAGGAGTGGCCATGCCATTCAGCTATGACAGAAGCTGTGTGTCCCACCCTCTGCCTCTGAAGATGGCCTATAGAGAACCGGAAGGCCCTCACTGGCTTGGCCCCTGGAGTAGCATGGATGGGGTTAGGAAGTGTGTCTGCACACAGCGTTACTGCATCTGAGGTATCAACCACTGTTGTCCTCTTCTGTGCTTCCTCCTGTTCTTTCTCCACTTCCAGAGGTAACACATAAAGTGACCAGAGCCCGGAAGAGTTCACATGCTTCAGGTCACACAGCGGACTCTGAGCTCCGTCTCTCCAAGGGGAATTCCGGCATGTGTCCCCTCCTTCCTTCCCAGACTGGAAGAGGGACCAGCTGTACTCATTATGCCAGGTGCCAGAGCACAGCTGTTCCCTCATTGTAGCCTTCCACACCCAAGTGAGCTGAGGGGGGTGGGGTGAAGGGTGGGGGTGTCTTAAGGGGGGTGGGGCTACCTCGTGCTAGCCAGTGATGCTGTATCCACAGTAGGCAAATGCGTCCTGAAATTGATTCGGAGCAGCAGTTCTGACTGGTGAGAGCCACCACTGACCGGTTAGAGGTGGTGGATGGGAGGGCAAGGAGTAGAGGCCTCGGGTTAGAATATGCAAAGGGGTGTGTGTGTGTGTATATGTGTGTGTGTGTGTGTGTGTAGGGGGGTTGATTAAAGGAAGTGGGTACTGGGCAGTAACAGTGCCAGTGAAGGCCAGAACAGCAAGCTGTAGCCCCAGCTCCCCCGCACCCTGAGGCTCAGTTTCCATCTGGGCCAACAGTGAGTGAACCCCCTGAGCCAGCTGTCTTGGTGCGAGAAAGGGTTGCAACAAAGCAAAACTAATCCCTTAGCTGAAGGCTAGGAGCACAGAGGTAGAAGATGAAGAGGGGACTCCTGTCCGCCCGCGGTGTAGTCTAGAACCTGGGTTCCCTTTGCAGGTCCAGGCTCTGCCATGCCCTCCCCGCTTCTCCCGTTGCTGCTTCGATCGTTGCTCTCCCGCCTCCTGCTGCCTGTTGCCCGCCTGGCCCGCCAGCACCTCCTGCCCCTGCTGCGCCGACTGGCCCGCCGACTGAGCTCCCAAGACCTGAGAGAGGCTTTGCTGGGCTGTCTGCTGTTTGTCCTCAGCCAGCAACAGCCACCGGATGCTGGAGAGACTTCCAGAGTGGACCACTCCCAAAGGAAGCAGAGATTGGGCCCCCAGAAGTGAGGCCACGGGTCGTGGAAGCAGCAGTGTCTGGCCATTGAAGTACCGTCTTTTGGAGAGGTTTAGCCCAAGTATCTGCACTGACTGTAGAATGCCCAGTGAGAGAAGACGGAGTGGGGGCTGAGCGCGAGAGGATTCTGACCCGAGCTCCCATTCTCCTAGGATCTAGCAGATCACAGATGTGCTGTTCTTCCGTTCTTCCCTTCTCCCGGCAGTCCCCTCTGCCAATGACCTCTGGCCTTCAGGGTAGACCGGCAAGTGAGGGCAGCAAGGTCAGTTAAGAGACAATGTTCAAGACAATTTAGCTAAAAGATGGTATTTAAACCCAAACTGTCCAGTCTCCCAGACTTAAAATAATAGGACCTTGGTTCCCTTTTGAGATAGATGTACCCTCAAAGTTCAGCATGCAGCAAGTAGTCAATAAACAATGGTGTGTTGTGTTGTTTGTTTGTTTGTTTGTGAGACTGGATTTTATGTATACCAGGCTGGCCTCAGACTCCCGAGGATGATCTTGAATAACATTTCTGAGCCTCCTGCCTTTACCTCACAAGTGCTGGCACCACAGGCACACACCCACATCCACGCCCAGTTCGAGTGGCACTGGGGATCGAACCCAGAGCGTTGCATGCTAGACAAGCCCTCTGCCGGTCAGCCACACCCCATCGCTGTGCTGGATGACTGGGGTGCTTCTGGAAGCACCCTGCTCTTGCCTAGTGAGGACGGCTGTCTGCGGGAAGCTGGAGAAGGGGTGGGAGAAGCCGTTGGCAGAACTTCCTTTGGATAACTTGTTCCATCTGTTTCTCCCAGTCCTCACGAGCCACAAGTTGTTCAGAGCTGTGTAACTTCGCTCAGAATATCCCACTGTGGCCCAGGATTCCTAGGTCTGTGTTACAGGAAGGATAACAGGCTGACAGGGGAAGGAAAATTGATCCCTGGCAAGCTCTGGAGACATCTCAGCTAGTGGTAGTGGGGAAAAGAAGACTACCCAGCTGGTTGGTGGGCAGGGGAGTAGGGACATGCTTGCCCATGATGGAGGCCATACTACACTGGAAGAAATAGGAAACCACCTAAACGTTTCACTTCATCCGCCTGGAGAGATGACTTAGCAGTTCAGAGCACTGGTAGTTCTTCCAGAGGACCTGAGTTCAATTTCCAGCACCCATGTGGCAGCTCACAACCCCCAATTCCACACTCTTCTTCTGGCCTCTAAGGGCAACAAGCCAGACACACACTCAGGCAAAACACACATACACAAAGTAAAATAATAATTTTTAAAAACTGACTTTATTTCCCACTTCCCAGTAGAGGCCCTGGGAACCTCTGTGTGTGTGTGTGTGTGTGTGTGTGTGTGTGTGTGTGTGTGTGTGTGTGTG